GTGTGAAGCGGATCAGGCTCGAAGGAGGGATAACATCGAATTCTATCCTATATCCGAACTGGATGATAGATAACACCCACCTATCAGATGTAATGGACTCCCAAATGGGCAGTCGGCCCTGGAGCCGGTTCCCAAAAGGGAGAAGGGAAAGTTGTGTTGGGAAAGAGAGGATGGTTCACCCAAGCCATCAACGTGGGCATTTATCGGTATCGAATTGCCGACGGCCTTAGGAAAAACGCTTTTGTGTTTGCTGTCTCCGATGCTGCCGTTGTTGATATTGCTGGCGAGGGTAGTTTTGCTGGCGCGGATAGTATGGTTGGTTCCGGTAGGAAGACCGAGACCACTGCCACTTACTTTTTTGCGGGAGCTCCATGCAGCGTGCAGTTAGGCATGATTCGTGAATCGCCTTTAATTTGCGGTCGGTCTTCTGGTGGAACAGACCAGTACCATCAAATGGCATTTCCTCGATTCTGCACTTCAATTGTGCTGCCACGCGTGTTGGCGTAACGAGATGGCATTGACGAGGGCCCTTGAATCGGTGTCTACATGATGACGAGCGGTAGACAACTGTTGCACCACCACCTGCATCGCCTCCTTAATGAAAACCCTGGTAAGGTCCGCTTGGTGGTCTGGAAGGCAGGAAGCAACGTTATCCAGCTTCTGCATGATCAAGTACTGGTAATGTGCCAGTGTCACTTCGTAGTTCGATATGAGCACGCCGAGTCCAGAGGCCGCATAGACTCGGCACACAAGCATATCGATTTTCCTCCCTTCCTTGTCCCAAGGAGTGGTATTTCCCCTGGACTCCCTGCCCTGGGAGGATTCAACCACAAGAGAGTTCGGTTTCGGGTGACGGAGCAGGAAGAGAATGTCATCGTCACGAACTTTATACATGGCCTCATATCTGCAGGAGATAGCTTGTGGTTGGGCCGGTTGGTCCCAGGGCTGGACCATAGCCTGGCGGAGTGTAGTTATAAGCGGCAAAGCTATGGATGCGGACTGCTCTCCCCGAACGACATCATAAAACCAATCTGTGGAGGAGTCTGGCTGTTGATGAGCTTCGATTTCAAGCGAACGAACTAAGCAGGACATGAGCTCTGTGAAAGAGACATGCGGTTCGTCGGGTGAAGCAGCCCCTTGGTATGCGACAGCCACATCAGGGGATGTGGAGTTGACCTCTGAATCCTCGGAGTCTTCCACGTAACGCGGCCGGTTTTCACTTGAGGAGGAGGTGGTTTCAGGGGAGGTTGGGCGCCTCGTCTCCGTACACCTGGAGGTGGATGGTATGTCCCTTGGGACCGATGGTGATCTATGATCCCGAGGAAAATAGGGATATGGTTGGTAACCACCCCAGCCGGGGGGAGCACCATATCCCGGAATCAACCAACTCTCATCTCGATGTTCGGATGAAAGGCTGCAGCATCTGGGAGGTAATGGTGAGGCCACATGAGGTTCAGTTGGTGGCACAGGTGTTTGCAAGCAGTCCCTTGGCAGGGAGACTCTGATCTCACCATCAGAGATGGACTCCTGAAGCGGCTCCTCCTGTTGCTGGGGCGGCACGCTCTCAGGCCGAGTGGTTGGCCTGGGGGATCCCGGTGGAATCACCTGCATAACGAGTTGCAGGGCTGGTCCCAAGGGGGTCGGTACCATGGCGGCCATCGGTACCGAAAAGCCCGATGAACCTGAGCCCCGGTGTTTTGGGCGATCAGGTTACTTGCTCTTGCGAGCGGGCTTATCCACCTTCTCTTTCCTCAACTTCTTATGGGTGGAAGGTTTATCCAGACTGGTATGCTTGTGCTTCTCCCGTTTCTTAGACGGGGAAGAAGGCAGTGACTGAGCCTCCATAGAAGTGGCGCCTTTGTCCGAAGGACGCTGCGGAGGATCGGCAGAGGTCGAGGAAGGACGCTTCGCTGGAGCACTCATGGTGGAGGAAGAGCGCTGAGGAGGCGCGGACAAAGAGGAACCAGGCCGTAGGAGCAGTTGGTCAGACTGCATTAATGCCTGATCCCATAGGAGCTTCCTGAGACGATTCTCCCTGTTTTTCCGCGCCTGCATGGTAAACGCCAAGCAATGACCACATTTGTCGGTCCTATGCCCCTCGCCGAGGCAGAGGAGGCATAGATCATGTGGATCAACTGGCGACATTTTAGATCCACATTCAATACATTTGCGGAATGCCGCCCGCTGCGCCATCGCGGAAAAATGAAGAAAAGAGGACAGTATAGAGGGTAAGATAATTTTTTTTTTGCTTTTTTATATATAGAGAGAAGAGAATTTAAGAAGAAAACGGACAGAATCGGGAAGAAGAACAAACTTGGAGCAAGGGGAGTTTAAGGTTTTTGAGAAAAAAACAACGAAGAGGCAAAGATCTATAGCGAGAGACGAACAGGCACGAGGCACAGCAAACGGCGGTCGCAAAGACTGAGTAAAATGGCGGATACTCTGCTCTATTTATACCACGAAGGGGGAGGGGAGCGGAGTTTTCCCGCCAAAAACCGTTAGCTTTCTAATCTTCCGGCCTAGGCACTGCGCTGGCGCAGCAACCCATACGTGTGATGCACAGAGGTCACGACGAAGAACAGGACAAACATCTTTAGAATGATTGCAATATAAAGGAAGAACAGGAGTTTGGAACTAATCTCTAGAGAACAAGAGACAAACATAGTGTGTATAACTATATAACATTGGAGCAGAATATTCACAGTAAACTTTGAATTTTATGAGATTTGTGGTTAGAACAAAACTCGGAAATAACCGCGGGACATGGCAGGCACTGTGGGACTACTTTCAAGTAGCTTCCATTTGTCTGATTTATGTTTACAAAGTCTTCCCAAACTCTCCTCTTCCTCAGTACAGGTTTCTTTGTTTCACTGCATAAATAATTAATGTCCCCTGCTAAGAGACTAGATTTGGGCAAACCTATTGAGGCAAATCTGGACATGATCAAGGTATTACAACTTCTCAGAGATGGAGATACCCTAAGAAATTGTTCAAGGATCTGGATCTGGGGTGGCACCTAGTGGGATGGTTTTGGCAGTGAGCAGTGCTGCCTTTCACTAACTCTTATTTGGTGAGCAGCCTGCAATCTTATGTATTTGGCCATGCAATAATCATGTATTCCTTAACTTGAGGTTGAACTACTGAAGCATGTTGTGCATGAGGTTCGCCCTCCATGACTGATTTGCTATACTCTCCTGCAGTGAAGGTATCCATCTCCTGATAAAATGGATCAGTGAAAACACACTGCACCAGCGAACGAGCATCTGCACCGCTCCCATAAATTCAGGAGTGGGCAACTTATGGCATTACAGATGTTTTGGCTTACCACTCCCTTCAGCTCCCTAGTCAGTGAGGGATGATGAGAGTTGTAGGGCTGAACATCTAGAGGGCTGAAACTTGCCCAATCCTGTTATAATTATATGGGCTGAATTCAATGCACTCATTCCAAACTACAAAGTCCTAAATTGCTCTGAACCTACTGCATAGCTTAATATCAGTTCACAAATGTATTAATTACTCAATTATTGCAATAGCTTCTGATGTTTTGCATTTGCAAAATAATCATTGCAGGTCAAAGATAACAGATAAAGCTATTTCAAGCAAAATTCTGTTTCTTGGAGGCAATTCACACATTAAGCTGCCTTTCATTGGATAATGGGATATCAAGAGGTATGCATCCATTCTTCAAACAGGATCATTACAAGCTGTTCCCTCTCTTATGATCCATCATGATCATAATGCTCTTTCCTCAGAGATTCAGACCAAATGAGAGTACCCAGGTTTAAGAGCACATTAATAGCATTCGCAGGGATGCCCATCACCTATTCAACTAGAGATCTGTTCAAAAAAGCAGTAAGAGTTGTTTGAGCTAATTTTAACAACATGCTTTCAGCAGGAATGGGATGGAAACTCATATGCACTCCATGACTGAGAGGCATATGTATTCAGCAAGTATCAAACTTGTGCATCCATTTCCAATTCTAATCAAAGTTGCTGAAGTTAGTTTTTATCAAAGTTGTCAGAATCCAAACAAAATCCAGTATTAGCTAAAGTAGCACACTATAACCTCATTAATCAAAAGAGTCTGTGGAAGAACTAGAAAAAAGGCTGTCTGATTATACATTAAAATCAGCACTGTTTACAAAGGGTCATGGTGGCATTTATTTGTACTTTTAGTCTGTATTATCTGCGAAAGAATCAGCAAGTAGGAATTTTGTGGCCATTTAGTGAATGCAAATAAAATAATTTTAGGTAAATGACAGCTATTCAGTGGATATTCTGCTGTGCTTGGATGTGATTTATGAATTTCATAAGTACTCCTCATTCATGCTCTAGTTTACAGATCTCAAATTGTGAGGAAAACTACAAAATAGGCATAGCAACTCATCTTAGGAAGGAGCCTATCATTCCTTCACAACAAGGTGATTCTTTGCAGGCTTGGATTTCTGCATGACAATGTTATGGTGACTCAAATTGTCAAAAATGCCAAAATGCCGGTGGCCAAAATACATTCTTGTGCCCCTTCCCTTTTGAAGCTCATAATAAGCTGGCTATGAATTACATAACACTAGGGAAAGGAGGAAAGAACTGTTGGAACACTGTGGTGCTTTGATGGAAGGGCTGCGGACTGAATGTGCCATCAAGCTTTCAAAAGCATAGGATTTATTGCAACAGTGAGTGGAATAAGGGAATGTAAGCTTTAAGAGCAAAGGATTCTATCCAGTTCCAGGAAAGACTGGCATAAATGTGATTTGTGGCTCAGTCTGTCCTGTCTGTTAGTTTTCCAAGGAAAAAAGATAGAGACCTGTTCTGTATCAATCCCTTTTCAGGTATTTTATCAATCCTAATTCTGTTCCATTTTATCTGCACTAACATCTCCAGGTTCTCCCTGGGAGTGAGCTCTTTTCCCTATTTCCTTCTATGAGATAAGAGAAAACGATGTAGTTTCCCACGACTGTCTTGTTGATCTTAATGCTCTTTCATTCATAGAGTGCTCTTACCATTAAGCCACTTGGAGTTGTATTGTGCTGTTCTAAGAGGTGGAACATTTCCAAGACTGCGGTAAATAGCTGGATCCCGTCCAGAGAAATCAATGACAGTTGCAGCGTATAGCTCTCCCTGTGATGTGATCACGGCTGTTGAGTTGTGCCGAGGGTCATAGGGGCAGCGAGCTACTCCATTTATTTTCTCAATTATTTTGCTTAAATTTCCTACCTGTATTGAAGAAATGATGGTGGAAGAGAACACATCTGGTCAAGCAATATATTTGTGTTTTTGTCATGCCCTGCATATTTGTAATTCAAATTAATAACCCTAGATAATGCTAGCTGCACAGAAGGACTATAGTAAAAAAAAGGGTTGATACAAAGAAGCCATAGAAGAAACAGTTGCTCCTTATTGTGGTTTCTAAAGACCAATTTACCATGGTAAAATATCATGATTGTGCTTGGACAGCATGACAACCTAACAATGTTTTAAAAAACCCATCATGGCTTGTCTTGTTGTTTGACTGGAAGATCATGAGGACCAATGATGAAAAGGCAGATGATGTCAGCTGGAAGCAATGCACATTGGGATTGAATTTACGATGCAGTGGCTGAAGGGGTATATGCTGACAGTGGGAGGACTGAGAAGGGAAAATGGAAACCATGATAATACAGAAATCATTTGATCATCTGACTGATAGATCATGGGTAAAAATGCAGAAACAGAGGTAATCATACAGGGTTGTTTGTCATGTGTGAATACAGCCAATGTTACTAGAGTCATATATCACCATAGCTGGATTTGTAGGTATAGCAATGTTAAAGTTCAACATTCTCAGAAGATTAGCTCAATGCTAATCTTTCCTCAATATGCACTCATGTTTGTAATCACTATTCCTTTTACTCAGATGCTAAAATCGTGTGAAACAAACCATCATGTGAAGGATGCACAAAGAATTTGAGATATTTTCCAAAAGTGTGCATTTTCACTATAAAATAAAACATGAAACTATGCCTTTTTGAATTCACACAATAGTGAACTTTTTCTCATAAAAATCTATATATTTTACAAAATGAGTACCAACTCAAGAATCTGCTAACAATTTTGGAGAATACATTCTCCTGCTTGCATATTTGGGATTCCAGATATAGTATGTTCACTTTATATAATCAGAAACAAAATTCTTCTACAACCTTAAACACAAGTGGTTGCCGATGACTCATACTTGGGCATCCAAACTACAAAGCTATATTCTTAATTATTTCATTCACCACTTCATTTGACCTGCCATGTAATATATCATATTCTCTCTTGTTAGTTCTCCTACTCTTCTCTCATACAGTCACATATATGTTAGAATACTAATTCTGCCTTTGCTTGGTCATTTCTAGTCTTGTGAGGATGAAAGTGGGTCCTTTATAATCCCCATCTCATTTTCCTACAATCTTTTCTTTATCCCACTTTAATTCATTCTGAAAGAAGAACTGCATAATTTACCTGTCTGCTGGAACACACTGGTGAAAAAGCATTGGTGCCACAAGTGAAAACCTTCTTGCCATAAACAATCAGAACACGAACATAGTTCTGACATTCCTCCTGAATAAAAGAGGATAGAAAAAGGTGGTTTAATGAAAGAAAAAAGATCAGTCTTGGCTTAAGGTAAGTTGACACTCCTTAGCGCTTAGTTCCAGAATTTGTTGATGATATCATGCTGTAGACTTGGAAACTGAAAATTATTAATAAAGACAAATGTGTATTTGAACACATGCCAAGTGTCTCTCATTGGTAAACATAGCAAAGCCCCCCAGAGCTTAATTTCCAGAGAGATTTGAGCCATGAAAACTTGAATCAGTGACTGAAGACGTACTCAGAATTCTTTCTCTAAGAGTACTGAACACTGATGTGATGAAAGGATATTTTATTTAAGGATCAAATAACCAGTGCCATAAACTGGACTTCCCCAAATGAAAGCATACACCAATACTGACTACCACATGACACTACACAGACAACATCAAAGATGCACCAGGCACCTCAGCATAGAAAACACAAGTTGACTAAAATTGTATGATCTTGAAATTATACAGACCAGATAGCAGCAGTGAAATTACTACTATTAGTATTATTGACTAAATTTATGATTCCCCCAATTTTATTTTGAGATTCCTTTAAAATAATAGGGCAGCTATCAAGATAACATTCCTTGTTTCTATAGATCCCCAACAATATATATTATCCACGCGAGCCACAGTGACTACTAAAAATAGCCATCAACTTGCATAAGCTAATTAGTATTACAATTATGCATTAACATTAGGATCATGGATTTAAAATGAAGCATAATTTTTCTAGCTGTCTTTATATTTCTTTTAGTCTAGCTAGGCTAGATAATAAATGGAAACTGTTTTTCAAGAAAATATTCTGTAAAGTGTTAATGAATAAAGGCTTTGATCTGTTCAGCTATTTCAGAGCCAATACAGTGAGAATACACAAGACATGCAAGTATCAGAGTCTGTGCCTTCTAAGAGATCCACCAAGCTGACCATATCCCATCAGCTATGAACCATGCTCAGCAGGTGTTTGCCACATGACAGGCAAGAAGCACAAGCAGGAGGTTTCTCAATCCTCTGCTCATGCCAACATACATGACAGCCAGGACGAATTTGGCTTGGTAAGTCTCAAACTGTTCTACATGCCAATTTAGCAGTTAAAGAAACAGGAATCAAAATCAGCAGCTGGATTGAGCTGTAAAGAGCCAGGCTTCAGTGTATGCTACACTTTGTTTAAAGTAATACAAAATGCACTCACTGAATAGTTAGTTATAATTTAGTACTAATCTCGTAAAATGAATGCTCACAAAAACAACCTACATGAGATATATACTGTAAAATATGCCTATATTAGGGCTGTGACATAGTCTATAAAATGTGATTAGACAATTAACTGTGGTAGGATAAGCTATGATCCAATCACATGCAAAAAAAGAAATATGCCACATATGTCACACATAATGAGCAATCCTTTTTGCATTATGGCAGAGGCCTGATCCAAGGGAGGCACTTTACTTTAGATTCAAGGATACACAGAAAGAAATGAAACCACTTGTTTCAAAGACAACATGCACCTTAGTGGACATAGTTTAATGAAATATGCACAAAATTATCAATAAACAAGCAAAAAAAGAGCTCACAAAACATCCCTCCACTTGCAGGTCTTCCTAATGCAACAGCCATTGCTCTGGGACATTAAACTGCTTAGATGTTTGTACTCCTCATTCAGAGTAGGAAGTTAAAGAGCAAGCTGGAGATTTTATGGATGTCTCCCTACATTGTATCAGAAGTGTTGGGTGGAGGGGAGGGAGGAGAGTGAGAGAAGACCCAGCTGTCCCAATTAACTTAAGCAGAAGAAAGATGAGGTAAAGAGTTCACAACAGCCTGCAGCTGGGTATCTCGTGCCTTCACTGAGGCCTGCGAGTCTTTTGCAGTAATTAAGCTTACACGATATCTGTTGCTTTTATGGCTGCACTAAAGGTCGCTGCTGACCACTATGAATGGCTTACATTAACTCATTGTCACAATGTCTTCAGGTTATTGGTCCCAATGCACCTTTGTTCATCTGTTCCACTGTCCAGAAACTGGAATTAGGTAAATCAACTAAATTCAAGCAACATGGACCCTGGGTATATTTGGATGATAGGATAACACTGGCTGCACCATGAGCCATTCTTCCACAGTCTGCACAGCAAGCTTCTTACCCAGGTCATAAATAATAGAGTCATACAGCAACTTTAGTGTGGATATTATTTTCCACAATCTGTAAAACTATGTCTTTTTCCTCTTTCCCCTAGGCTCTTCTACAGAGAGTAAATGTCAGTAATCTGATTATAGCCATAGTTTACAGTTCTGGCTTCAAAAAAAAAAAAAAAAATCATACCCAGATGTACTGCTGCTTGGAACAACTATTGACTGTAGATTTCGATTTATGTGGCTATTTTGGAAAGGAAAGAGCTTCAAACATGCTTGAGAGAAGAAAAAAAAGGATAGCTCTAAGCATACACAAACACCTTAGTTGTTTCAACTGCCTTTTCTTCTCGTTCGCTGGAAAGTATGAAGAGCCCCTGAATGGAGCCTGTCACTGAAGACACAGCTCCTTATTCGTTTCCAACCCCACTTCCGAGAACCCTGCATGTTGCCAAACACTTTCCAAAGGATTTTATTTGCACATTTCAAGTATGTAAAATTACTCCAAACCAACTTGGTTGAAAATAAAAGCGCTTCCCCAGTCATAGCCAGCATTATTTCCTTTCATTTCTGATATGGAAATCAACTTATTGAAAGGCTAACCATAACAAATGCTACCGGCATTGCCTAGGATGAGACACCATATGTACTTGCTGTTTGAGGATGAATTTTATCAAGGATACTAAGAGATTCTATTGAGCAGACAGCAGGATCTGAACTGTTGGAGTTGGCCTGGGGAGCACTCAGAATGAGCATGACAAGACCAGAGTATTCCTTGGAGATGCTTCACATGCCTTACATTTCAGTTCCATTATGTCTTGATCAGATAAAGGGGCATCAGCCGTGAAATTCTTCTCAGCCTGGAAGCAAGGCTTTGGTTGTGGCAATTCAAGACATAACCTTTCAGAAATAGATAACCTGCAGGCTATTGTACACAGGCCTATCAGATGAAACCTTGAGAAACAAAGGGCCATTGCTCTGAGCTGATTTCTCACCTTTCTGAGTAAACTCATCAGCCAAGAAAAGTGTAGTATGATACTCTTCCTGATGTGCTTATATACAGAAAGAAAGCAGATCTACAGAAAGCATTTTAGTATTGCTGGAAAAATAATACATTTCACCAGCAGTCTGAAGTGTTAGCATTCATAATTTCACTATTTTGGTATCCTGTATTGACTTGGGCCTGATTTAAAAGTGATGCTTGTGTGAAACTTTCCCACACCAGGCAGCAGATACCACATTTAAATCCAGATAATCACCCCATGCATGAAGTATTAACACTGGATGAAGCTATCTGAAGTCCAGGCATGGCCTCAGCATACATTGCACTGGTTGGCTAATATTTATACATGTGGGTGCTTGAGGTGCATGCAAGTCAACAGCACAGATAACTTATAATTTATAAACCTGGTACCATTCATAGATCAGGTCTCATAAAATACCTTTCCATATTCTTACTCCTCATGGATCTCCAGGATGAAGTCTCAAAAAAACATTTTTGGTTGCAATAGGAATGGAGACAGAGAACGGATGGTTCCTTTGTTTGGTCCATTCCTGAAAGTAATTCACAATACAACCACAAACCTAAGGAATGGGAGAGGCAAGGGCTATGGTTAAAGATTTAGATTACAAGTCAAACCAAAACCTTAAACTTTCCAAAGGCTGAAATCTGAGTTTCAGAGTCCAGTATGTTTACATTTAAATAGACTTCCTGGAACATGAAGGAGCAGGACGTGGCCTGCAACTATGTATACGTCAATAGCACAATGCTTCATGCATCTGATGAAATGGACTATACAACTTGTACAATAACATGTTTATTAAGGTGCCTCGCAAGACATTGCAAATATGGCAACCTCTCTGGAAAAGAGACAATAGGCAGAAGTCCTATACACACACACCTGGGAGTAAGTGTCATGGCATTCAGTGGGATTTACCTCTGAGTAGATATAGGATTGTGCTATTAGTAATCAAAATGCAAAGTTAATTAAAATTTACAAAATGGCTTATTCTTGGCGTCTGGTTGGATATTTTAGTTATTAGCTATGACAGAGAGATAGTAGAGATTTTGCTGATAAGAACAAATGAACCCCCTATTGATTGAATCATCAAGCTCAGTATTGTATACACCAGGGTGCTGAACCTCTTTGAGCCCAAGGGACAAAGACAATTTCTGTAATATTCTCAGGGCCTGCATTCCAGTGCTAGGGGAGGCCAAGGATAAAAACAGCAGGAGTAAAAAATAGGGAAAAATACACAAGCATGAATATTTATTGTATTATTTTTGCCATCCTGTTATCCTCCATAATTACATCTTAAGAGAGGTATTTTAACCTTTTAGAATGGGAGAAAAATGGCACAAAAGCCAGAAAGCTTTTGGTGGTAAAAGGAACAGAGGGTGGGGTCCGGGGAACAGGGCATGGCTTTCTAGAGAAACCCAGAAGGCTAAATTAAGCATCTGGGCCAGAGGTTCCCCACCCCTGCTCTACAATGATATGCAGCAGAATCATTCCCAGCCCTACTCAGAAATGCTGGGGACTGAACTTGGGACCATTTGCATGCAAAGCATGTGCTCCATGGCTGAGTTCTGGCTCTTCCTATTGGGGCGTAGTTTTAGCAATAATATTACTCCTATCTCACTCTAATCTTGGGATGGACAATTTCAATCTTGGATTCATTGGCTGAAAATATCTGTATACCCTCACTTTGAGCGGAAGACCTCTAAGGCAGCTAACAAAAACAATCTTAAAACTAATTTCAAAAAGCACACAAAACAAATAGAAATTCACAACAAATACAGAACAGCAAAGTATCAAAGAAGTGGGAGATAATACAGCTCACTACGAAAGCTTGGCT